AATTTTATGTATAAAGTTTAGTTTCCTCTTTAAGTAAAATTGACCAGATTAAGTGGTTTCTTAGGCAAAGACAAAAGCATAACAGCATTTGGAAGTGTGAAGGTCTTGAAGGCTCATACCCAAGTGCCTGAAACCATACGGGGTGCACACTAAAGTGTATGTACGTGGCTACATGCCCAAACACATACTCACAGGGAGGAAGTATAAAGTGAATTAAAGACAGAAGGAGGTTCAAAAATGCCTCAGCTGCCACTTAAAAAGACTTGCACTTGAACCTGGTGGCTCCTACATGTTATCCTAACTATTCAGGAGTCTGAGATGAGGATCACAGCAGCCCAGGCAAGAAAGTCCAAGAGACTCATCTCCAATCAACCACCAAAACACTGGAAGTAAAGCTGTGGCTCAATTGATAGAGTGCTAGCCTTGAACACACAAGCTCAGAAACAGGGCCCAAGTCCTTAGTTCAAGCCTCATGATCAACACACACACACACACACACACACACACACACACATACACTGTATTGTGATGATGATGGAGAACATAACAGTTTTATGCAGAGGAGAAAGATAGATATATCATGGAACCAAGAGAATCTTCTTTACCAGTCTGGGAATCAGACTGGTAAAATCAAACACTTTTACCAAATTTAGGTACCACAAACATTATTAAGATACAGTTTAAGAGACTGGATAAGTCAAAAAGCTTTTTCAGCCAGGCATTTGTGGCTCACACCTGTGTGGGGTTATGTTAGGTAATAATTAAAAATAATTAAAAATTAATACAGGGATTTCTTAGTTGGTGATGTTTATTTTCTTTAAATGTCTTTGGAGTCCAATCCATGTGGGACACCACCTCCTATTTCCCCCCAAGTCTATGTGTATTTGTTTATGTTTCATGGTGTTTAAATCATTACAATTAATCAAATACTCCTCTACTGATTTACACATCTGCATTCCTCCCACTAAGCGTCAACTCTAATGTTAAGGGTCTACTGTAGTCATCACCTCCACCAGCTCATTCAGGGAACATCATCAGCACTTGAGATATTGTTAGAAATAAACATCTCAGATGTGTTGCCTTAGAAGAAGTCTTGGAGTAGGGCCTCACATTAGATGTTTAATAACCCCTCCAGGAAATTCAAATACATGTTCTAGTCTGAGAAGCATCAAAGTAAGACAAAAAGATTTAAGAGACCATCTTAGGGCTTTCCAACTTTTTCCAATCTTTTTATTGTTTATTACTGATGTAATTATCCCCTGAGAATAGAATGGTCTAAACTGCAACCCCATCTTCTCTTTGGCAACAGTTTATCAAGTTTGTTTTTCCTCTAGTTTGATTCATCTAATCAGACTGAATCATATGGTATTACCATTTGCAAGAAATGGTGTGAAACATATTTCTCTAATTTTTTCTTTGCATAAGTACATTACTAAAATATCACCCCCAAATTAAAAGCTTTGCATTACAGACTTTTAAAAATAAACAAACACATTTCAATTTACTTAACATACTTTATTTGATAGTGATATACTTTCTTCACACTGGTGGTATTATTCTAGAAAATTCTATGTGGGTGGGAATGGTAGTATTATTATCAACTTTTAAAAAAACTAATAAAGATATTAAAGTATGACTATCTTTCTCACCAAGTTGTCTAAATAAATTCTGTTTTATTTATTATAATATCAGTGTGTGGAAAGAGCTGATAGCAAGTGTGGGAGACAGTATTTTATATACTGTAAATTACATTTTTGGATTAGTATAGTTTATTTCATTATAATTTGTGAATTTCTCTATTGAAAGATTGTTTAATACAAGTAACAACTTAATCTTAGTGAAAATAACCCCATTTACAAAATGTTAGTGAGTCTGCATTCAAGGGGAAAGTCATTAAAATTTCAAAACATGTGTGTACATTGTGGGCATAGGGAGAGGATTGCTCTTTCTTTAGAATTCTCTTTGATTCACAGACTTCTATGAAGGGCCTTTTTATTGATTACCAATAATCATGTCATGTTGTTCTCATTTCAACTATATACTTGCAAGGCTGAGGTGTGGCTGAGTTGGTAGAGTTGTAGCCAGTCAGTGAAAGTGTGTCAGGTTCCAAGTTCAAGTCCCAATCTACAACCAAAAAGAGAAAAGGAGGGGGGGGGGGCGGGAGGGAGGGAGGGAGGGAGAAAGAGAGGGGGGAGAAAGACAAAGGGAGAGAGAGGGAGAGGGAGAGCCTGAAGTGTTGTGTTTAATTTCTGTATTTTATTTTGTTTTTTTTTTTCTCTTCTTTTATTTTTTATTGTGAACATACTGTACAGAGGGGTTACAATTACATGGGCAATATAATGAGCACATTTCTTATTAAGCATTGCAGCCTCCTCCTTTGTTTACCCTTCACATCCCTTCCCAGCCTCCCCCCGCCCCCCACCCAATCCTCCCCCCCTTAATTTCTGTATTTTAAAAACATATGTTTTTAAAAATTGGACTAGTAAATCTTATGTACCATATAAGGTAATTTCTCAAAAGGACAATATATTTTCCATATTAATCTAGTAAAATCTGCATAAAAATAATTGTCATTTTTCTTTCTCTTTTTACATTTCTCAAAAAAACTAGATTTTATCATGTCATCAGTTACTAATAATTGTTTCTTAATTCCTTTTCCAAGAAAAGAAAACATTTGTCTTGTCTTACCTTGTGCAGAAAGAGTAAAATAGCATTTACTGATTGGGAACAGTAGTAAGAAGGAATGAGGTGGGAACTAAGTTATAGTGAGATAAAAGTAAAAAGTTCTAGGATGTTTTTGGTGACCACAGATAACAATTATGTGTTGTATATTTCAAAAGCTAGAATGAAATGATGAATATTTGAAGAAATAAATACAAGGAATCTGATTTAAACATTACACAATTGCAAACATGTATCAAAATATCACGTGATACTCTGTTAGGATGAACAATTTTAGTCCTAGATGAAAATTAAATGTAAACTGGGGGCCGGTGGCTCATTCCTGTAATCCTGACTACTCAGGAGGAGAGATCTGAGGACTGAAGTTGGAAGCCAGCCTGGGCAAGGAATTCCATGAAACTCTTATCTCCATTAAAGTACTCAGAAAAAGCCAGCTTGTAGTAGTTCACTAGTCTTGAGCACATAGAGGCTCAGGGACAGTGCCCAGGCCCTGAGTTCAATCAAGCTCTGTGACTGGCTAAATAAATAAATAAATGTATAAAACACTTCAAATACAAATCATCTGATTTCCCAAGACCTATCAAGTTACTATGTCCATTTCCCAAGTCACCTTGAGCTTGTTTAATTTTTTTCTGTCAGCCCTGGGCATCCCAAATTCCTCTTGGTGCACTGTAGGTATGAGATGATTAGCAAAGCAATCTTTGATGTTTATGTAGTATTCTGTGATCTTAACAGGTGTTAGCCGTGTCATTGTATTTTGTTGATCCTTTTTATGATGAAGGAAATCAGTTTTAGAGAAGACAAATGACTTGTCTGTGATCTCACTTGTAGTAAATGAGTAGAACTCCAAGTTCTGGTATTCTCATTCAAAGTTATTACAAAACACCAAAGAGAAACTATGTGGCAAGTGGGGAGGGTGTGTTGATTGGAATGAAGACAAGTAAGAAGGACATATTTTTCATGACTCTTCGTTGGACAAACAGTATATAAATTTTATCACTGAAATTTATAAAGAAGTTTCTATATTTGGAAAAGTGAAAGCATCATATTAAATCTTTGGCCTCCATTTAATGTGTTCATCTGAACCCAAAAAATTCTTTAGAGTAGATGTGATGTAATTTTTATTTTTGATTAAAAATAGTATCAGTCAAATAATTCCTATGAAGCATGTGTTTATTGATGTTATAAAATGAATTAAATGGATGTAATAGAATTGTTCATGTTGTAATTCTGTGATCTCTCAGTATTTACTGAATTTCTGCTATGTTTAGAATGCTATATTCTTCATATCAAACTTAATTTTTTTGAGATGAACAATTACCATTTTCACTGGCTACAGTGTTTCTAAGGATTAATATTAATATTTAAATATATAGTGTATATAGATTAGTCATGAAAATCTAAGTTCTGCTGTAATTATAGCCAATTAAATGTAAATGTCCATTTGTTAATTCATTTAATATACATTTACCTAGCATTGAACTCTTAAGCAAAGAGTTAGCTGATTAAGAGAGTTAACTCTTAGCTGATTTATTGTTAAAATGATTTATAACCATAAATGATGTGCATGCTATAAGGCTTATTAATATAAATGTACCTTTTTGAAAAGTTACTAATTTTAGTGAAGTTATTTTATAATGGAAAGAGCTATAAAATGGGTATGTCATATACACAGAGTGTTTGTTTATCTTGCATATAAAAATTTGCCTGGAATGAGATGGTCAGAGATAAACACTTTATCATAAAGTGGCCATTCCAGGCACCATGGAGGAAGAAGGCAGAAGAGATACTACTCCCAGTGGAGTAGTTTCTTGAAGGAAACCTTCCCAGTTATTCCAGTTGCAGTTCCATTTATACCACAGTAGCCAAAAAATTGCCACACACCAAAATAGATGAGTTCAGTCTGAGAAATGTAGTGTTTTGGCTGGACATTTTGCTTTCCTGAATAAAATTAATGTTCTGTTACTAAGAAAGGGAATGTGCATCTTAAGTGCATACTCAGAATTCTTTCTCATTCATAAATACTGTATGTATATTCAAATATTGTTCTGATTATCAGGTTTAGCTTATCCTTATCTATTCATCATGGTCCTATTTATAATTCTCTATACTTTTAATTACTGTTTCCCCATGTTTACAATAGATGATATACTTGTTTTAATATCAATAGTATATAAACAATATTTTTACCATTACAGTTTATCATTATGAGAAACAATGAAATGAGGCCACAATGTCTAGAAACTGACATTGTTTGATGCATGTTACAGAAAATATAACTTATTTTCATTTTCAAACTTTATCTACCTTCTCAACAGGCTGTACATTGATGGTCCATTTGGAAGTCCATTTGAGGAATCACTGAACTATGAGGTCAGCTTCTGTGTGGCTGGAGGCATTGGAGTGACTCCATTTGCATCAATACTCAACACACTTATGTATGTCTATTGATTCATTCTATCAGTATGAATAGAGAACTGCCAATATTTTAAATATTTGTCATGTTACTGTAAAATATTTTCTTACAATAGCTCCTAATGGTTCAAGGAATAAACTCCACTTACTAATGAAAGAGGGGACTAATTCAATAATTCTCAACAAATAGTCTGTGGCTCTCAGTATGCTCATATCAAGATAAGTCAATGTCACAATTGTGCATTCTTCTGTTCTTTTCTTCTGTTAAAAGTTATTGTACATGCCGGGCACCAGTGGCTCACGTCTGTAATCCTAGCTACACAGAAGGCTGAGATCTGGGGATCGCGGTTCAAAGCCAGCCCGGGCAGGAAAGTCCGTGAAACCCTTATCTTCAATAAACCACCAGAAAACCAGAAGTGGCACCATGGCTCCAGTGGTAGAGCGCTAGCCTTGAGCTGAAGAGCTGAGGGACAGCTCTCAGGCCCAGAGTTCAAGCCCCACTACTGACAAAAAAAGTTATTGTATATATATATATATATACATATATATATATATATATGTATATATATATATATATACAATAACATATATATACAATATATATATACAATAACATATATATGTATATATATAAATATGTATATATATATGTGTGTATATATATATATATATATATATACACACACACACACAAGTGGATTGACTAAAGTACGGCATACACAGAAAAGGATTCCAATGGTATAATTCCTTTGAACAACTAATTTACAGTTTAGCAAAATGAATACCAAAAAGCTGATATTCTCGAGGGAGTGGGGCAGGGGGGAGAAAATGTAAGGAGAGGAGAGATGAATGGATAGACTGCTAAGCAAAAGCAGTCATAGTATTATGTATATAACGATATGTGTGTTGTGTAGTGTGCATAAATGGAATCAGGTAACTTGAAAGAGGTGAGATTGGAAGAGATGGAGGAGCATAATAGGAATGGTGACATTGATCAAGATGTATTGTCCTCATAAACTGACCCAGTAATTTGAAAATCTTTTGTATAACTATTTAAAGATAACACATACAAAAAGTCACTCACAACTATCCTTTATGTTCCAATGTCCTTGAGAGTAGCTTTTCAGGGTTCTGATGTTAATTAATCTTTTTTGTCTTTATTGTGAAAATACCATACAGAGGGTTTACAAATACATGGGCAAGATAATGAGTACATTTCTTATCAAGCATTGTTGCCTCCTCCTTTGTGTTAATTAATCTTATAGATATTTGGGAATATAGCAGTGCAAGAAAACCTAGTCTCTACCCTTAAAAGTTTACATTCAAATAGGGCCTGTAAGAAATAAATCCATAAGAAAGTCATTAAAAGGATGATTTTAGAAAATACAGGAACTTAAGAAAAGGAGACAGATAAATGGAATACAAATAAAATGATACAGTCATTGTAGAAGTATGGTCAGGGAAAGCTTTTATGAAAATATGACAAATGGTACATTGCTCCTTGGTTTATTATTAAATATACAACAGAACAGCAAATTTACTAACAACTTTGCAACAAATCTAAAGGGAGATTGTCCAAGGGGGAATACTCTTTCAGTATTTTCTGCTTAGGATGATAAGCATAGTTTATTGATTGCGTTCAAAACAAAAAGAGAGCAGTAGCAAGAAAGAAGTAACTCTCAAATTTCCTCCATGCCCTGTTAATATAGACACAAGATGTACAAAATGTTTTTATGAAATACCAAAAAAGAATTAAGTACTTCTCAGGCTAAGGCAGGAGGATCATGAGTGTGAAGCCACCTGGGCTGCATAGCAAGGCTCTCTGCCTCAAAATAATAAAGTAAATTAAATAAGCAAACAAATAATATTTTGAGTCTTACTTGATTTTGGTTTTACTTGATGTAATTTCAGGAGACTCTTATAAGAAAGATTGGCCATGTTCTAAGCCAGAAAGCATTTGTTTCTGACAGCACTTAGCATGCTATTTGGTTACCTAATATTATGAAAAAGGAGGAACATTTTCTTAACCTCAGTCGACTTCATCATTATAAATAGGAACCCAGATTTGGAATTAATAGTGGCTGGAATGCATTACACAGTATGTGATTGTGAAATCTCTTTCCTTAATGAGTCTTAAGAAAGGGATAAACAACCAAGATTCCGGGGGTGGTTTTGGCTCCTTTTCTTAGAGACAAGGGCAAGACCAGATGACCTTTGGAGCCCTGTGCAATAATAGAATTCACTGAAAATAGAGAACTTGTTTTTCTGTGGTTCAAGGAACAATGGTATTTTGACCTAAGAGATCAGCTTGTGGCCATCCAATAACAGCAGGTGATGTGCATATAATATCTACAAAGTTGGAACACTTGTTGAATGTTGTGTCTTTATGTCTTTGAATTAGTCTGTTGCATGTGACATTAATTTGACAGTAATAAGTGCTACATGAGTTGCTAGCATGTGGAAGGCTCTCTTTTTCTGTTGGTGGCTTACTAACAAAATTGCAATAACAAAGTATTCTGTTTGAGGGTTTTTTTGTAATCATACTCACTATCATGGTATTTTAATTTTAAAGGGATGACTGGAAATCGTACAAGCTTAGAAGACTGTACTTTATTTGGGTGTGCAGAGACATCCAGTCCTTCTCCTGGTTTGCAGACTTACTCTGTACATTGCATAACAAGGTAACAATAGGGTTTTTTTAGTTGCACAATCTTTACTTAAAATATAGTTTTCTTTTGTACTGCAAAACTAATAACTGCTTTCTAGAGAATAAATAAAACTTGCCTTCAACTTAAGAGATAATTAGAAAACATCTTTTTGGATATGAATATTTATGATTACGTATTTTTCCATGACATACTTTAACACAGAAATACCCATTTCTATGTTTTAATCTAAGATGTTCAACATAGATATATGGCTAGTTGAAGAGTAGGACGGGCTGGAAGGGAACATCAGCAGCTGCTCCTTAAATGGCTTCTAACCTTTGTTCTCATACTACTTACCCTCATCTCCACCTTTAAGATTTCAAAACAGTATCATACTTTTTGGTGCACAATGAAGACTCTCAGAGACACAGAATTCTAACTGAGAATTCTAAGATAAAAGACTGGGCATGAATGTCTCAGGCCTTTAATATGAGTTACTCCATAAGCTGAGCTTTGAGGATTGAGTTGAGAAGCTGGCTAAAGGAGAAAAATCAGCAAAGACTCTTATCTCCATTAAAGCTGGAACTGGAGGCATGTGGTAGAGCACCAACCATGAGTGCAGAATGCCAAGTGAGAGTGTAGGGTTCTGAGTTCAAGGCACAAATCCAGCACAGAGAGAGAGAGCGAGAGAGAGAGAGAGAGAGAGAGAGAGAGAGAGAGAGAGAGAGAGAGAGAGAGAGATAAAGGCAGTCATTCACCAAATCTACTTTTGATATTTCATTCACTTATTTATTAATACATTCATTTATTTATTAAAATAATACATCTTTGCAAATGCTTCAAATAATTCAGGTAGAACAATTCAGAAAACTTCTTACTACTTTTCCTACCCAGTCAGTGTAACCAATTATCTTATAAATATTCTATCATACTATTTACTTTTTTCTAACTGCCTTTTAAAAATTTACTGCTGCATCTTGATTATTGGTTTTGTATTAACAAACCAAGTTATTTCATTCTTTTGATTGCTGTAGAGAGTTCTATGGCATGGAAATAATAATTCCCTGTAGTAAATATTTATGTTGTTAGTACAAAGAGTGCTTCAGTAGCTATCATTACGTGTATCTCTTTGAACATACTTTTATTCAGTCAGGTATTTTCTCCTTTAGTAAGTACTTTAGTGACTCCCAACCATAAAATCAAGAACTGTTTTAGGAGCTGGAGATATATCAGGTAACACAATAAAGTTCAATGTTTGATCTGATGTGATTTATGTACTAAGTAGGTTCCAATCAATTTGTAGGCTATGTGAGTCTGAGATTTCAGTCAGGACAAAGGAAAGGAAAGTCCAGGGAAAGCAGCCTTACCAGTGTGGGTGGGGGGGCGGGTGTTCAAGTGGGTTGTACGCTGAGGAATGCCCATTGAATGTGCTGTTTGGGAACAGAGATGTGAATGCAGTGGACAGGAAGACTAAAGAAACATCTTATAGGAGCAAATGAAAGTGGAGGAACCTAAAACTCAAGTCTTTAATCAAGTAACTAATGAAGAAACAAATTATGCCATATGCATGCAGTGGAATTACTTAACCTTGAAGAAGAAGGGACTTCCAGTACTGGAGATGTGGTTTAATTGTAAAGCACCTGACCTACAATCATAAGGCCTTGAGCTAAATCACCAGTACCAACACACACACACACACACACACACACACACACACACACAAGGAAATTCTGATACATGCATAAGTGAGCTTTGGAGACAGAGTAAAATAAGCCAGATACAAAAGGTAACATCTTTTCTCCTCATATATGTGTTTGTGTGTGTGTGTGTGTGTGTGTGTGTGTGTGTGAGAGAGAGAGAGAGAGAGAGAGAGAGAGTGTATCTTCTACATTATATATATGTATTTATATATATCCTATATATATATATATCCTATATATGACATATATATATATAGGATGAGAAATATATAGGAATATATATATATATATGAGCTATCTAGAGTAGGTTCATTATAGTGAGCAGGGGTTTGAGTCTGAGGGCCAGTGAAATGGAAAGTTACTATTCCACACTTCTTTCTAGACAATTTTTCCAGGTATATATATTTTTGTCATATACATTAGTATATAAGAAAATCAGTGCTGAGTAGGTAGAAATCAGAAACAAGTCAAAAGTGTCAATTTTTAATTGTCTTGTATTTCCTAGCATGTCTAAACCCTTGTGTTTCCTAGCATTTCTTTTTTAAATGTTATATTTGTGATAAGTAAACTCATAAAACAAAATGAGAATTTTTTGGGATAGACTTAGGAGAATATTAATATAGTTTTTACTATGGTTGATTTTATATCCTTGAGGAGAAAATTGTTTTGTTCTCCACCACTCTCATACCTATATTTTGCCAGTAGCATGAGTAATGTTATGAATGCTGGAATCTGTCTGTCTATTTACCTAGCTATTTAACTATCTGTCTGTTTATATTTCATTTGTAGTCTGTTGTGATATGTCAAGTTGTTGACTGAATTATCAAATCATATGTTAGAATAAAATAAAAATAAAATAAAATATTTGAAAGAATTTCAGTATCTCTATTAATTTTTATGCCCTTTCAGTTTTGGCAGGAAAATAGACCTGACTATATCAACATCCAGCTGTACCTCAGTCAAACAGATGGGATACAGGTATGGGGTTGGATGTTACTGTTAATTAAACAAGCCTCTTGATAATAGAAGATTTACTGTAGGAGCTGAGCTGGAAGAAAACTTCTGCTGGTGGGTTGAGCATAAGATTGCTAGAGGAAGGCCTCCTTTGGAATATGTCCAGAGAACTCCTGGTTTGTCCTTGATGTCTACCATATTTGCCTTTCATTTGTCCTCCTCACTGCAGGCTCCAGTAGACCTTTTGGTTTATGTTTCTACTCTTAAGTATTGCTCATTTGTTATCTCTAGAGATCAAGGTGTATGAACAAGTGTATGAAGAGGACTTTTTTGCGGGGGGGGGGGGGGGTCGGTCGTGGGGCCTGAACTGTGGGCCTGGGTGCTGTCCCTCAGCTCTTCAGCTCAAGGCTAGCGCTCTACCACTTGAGCCACAGTGCCACTTCCAGCTTTTTTCTTTTTGCTTGTGTGGTGCTGAGGAATCAAACCCAGGGCCTTGAGCATTCAAGGCAAGTGCTCTACCACTGAGCTACCTTCCCAGCCCCTGAAGAGGACTTTTTTTTGGTTGTTGTTGTTTGTGGAGAGAGAAGATAAAGTCACATATTATTAAGATTAAGATTAGTTCATTCCAAAGCTATCTACAAGCCCAGTAGTAACTATCATGCACTATGTATTTGCTATGTTGGGCACCATACTAAGAATGTCACATTTATTGAGAAACAGATGCTATTCCTATTTGCAGATGAAGAAACAAGTGTTTAGAGCATGGGATGATGAGTCTAGGTGTGCATAATTTCCCAGGTTTTATTACAAATTAAGTATATCATATATTTTCACAACATTTTGAATGCAAAATATGAATACTTTTCAATCACCTCAAAACTATTTCAGTCAGATTTCTCCCCCACTTGATAGGGAACTGGTGGCTCATGCTTGTAATCCTAGCTACTTGAGAGGCTAAAATAAGATAATGGCTATTCTAATCCATCCCAGCTGGAAAGTCTTCAGTTAACCAGCCAAACGCCAAAAGTGGAGCTATGGTTCAAATAGTAGAGTTCCAACTTTTAGTGAAAAGGGGTAACTCCCAGGTCCTTGGTTCAAGCCCCAGAACTGGAATAAAATAATAATAATCTCACCACATTCATGAAGTATGTCAATATCATTTTAACCTAGTATCATTGTAATTAAGGTATAGCAGAAAATTCTAATTGTTACTAGGTCTTCCTACCTGAAATTTAGATACTTTTTTTTCACTCTGACTCTTACATTAGATGTAATGTCCTTTTAACTGCTAAAACTAGTTTACTAATAGTCATTTGTTGATAGTGTCAAGATAGAAACTCTGTTGTATTGGAATGTCTTGTCTACGATTATTTCTCAAAATTTGCCATGATAATTTGTAGTAATTTCTTCACATAATGAGCCAAATATGACAACTATTATTTCAGGGCAAAAAAATATTTCAATGACGTTTATGTTGTGAGACTCTTTGGGAATGAGGGATGAGAATATATTCTTTATCTTACATTTTCATTTTTAAAAAGTGAAGCAAGGAACTGATGTCTAGGAAAATCAGCCATTTGTAAAAAATGGCACTCAAGAAGATGATGAGTTTTATAAGAAAAGGAGAAAGAAATGATACCTCAAAATGACTGTACTTAACAGGTTTTAGAATGGTACTTAGATTCTTTATATCACAATGATTTAGTAGGAAGGCACAGCACCGACAGAATTGATGTTAGAGAATTAAAATATTTATCTTAATCTGTGACTTATGTGAGATGTAATGCTTTCTTTTTGGCAGAAGATAATTGGAGAAAAATACCACGCACTAAATTCAAGACTTTTTGTTGGACGTCCTAGATGGAAGCTTTTGCTTGATGAAGTAGCAAAATGTCACAGAGGGTAAGTTATCATTTCTCAGAATTTTTGACATGTGGCCAAAGATGAAATTAAAATATCACAGTATCATCTTAGGAAGCATTTGAAGATGAACTAACAATACAATTACAAATCACTATGTATTTAAGCACTGCTGCACAAGATGAAGCAAAGCAGATGCTATCCCACCTAGATGTATATCAAATGGTTAAAATCTGGCTCAGAGACAGCATAGGTGCCTTATGCCTTTAATCTTAGCTGAGGATTACAGGAGGATCTCAGGAAGCTAAGATCTGAAGATTGAGGTTCAAGCCACAGTGCTGGCACAAAAGAAAAAAAGTTCAGAAACTAGCAGAGTATGTATGAACTATACTTCACTACATACATTGCTATTGTTAGATTCATTTTAACATGGATACTTATTCTCATAGAAACTATCAAGCAAGCATGCGATAAGTTTTTCATTATCATTTTGGCAAACAAGGTACTTGACCAACAGGTTTAAGATTTAACATATTTAAATATTTAATTTCTGTGTTATTTTTATTTATCAGAGTGAATTGTTTTGTTTTGTTTTGTTTTTCAAGGCTTCTCATTGTAATACAAAACAACTGGCCAGAAATATTTCTGTCTTTTTTCCTTTTTTATTTTGTGTTGGTCCTAGGGTCTGGGGGGAAGTCCCTGAGTTTTTTTTGTTTAAGGCTAGCACTCTACAATTTGGGCTACAGCTCTACTTCTGGCTCTGTGTGTGTGTGTGTGTGTGTGTGTGTGTGTGTGTGTGTGAAAAAGAGAGACAGACAGAGACAGACAGAGACTGAGGCAGAGAGACAGAGACAGAGAGAGAATTAGTTAGATACAAGAATCTAATGGACTTTCCTGCCCGATCCTCAGATCTGAGGCTCCTGAGTAGGCATGAGCCACTGGCACCTGTTTCAACCAGAAATATTTCTAAATGTAATTTTCTTTTTGGAAACCAGAACTCTATTCTGAAGGAATCAGTATGAAAGGAGAGCACTTATTTGGGGGCATAGACTATCCAGACAATTTGTCTTCTTTGTAAGCACTACAGGGCAGAGGAGCATTCCATAAGAGTTTTCATGTGCTCACTTATACCTCTTCATTCCTTCTCTCTTTTCCTACTTTCCTTCTTTCTCTCTCTTCTTCCTCTTCCTCTCTTCCTCCCTCCCTTCTCCCTCTCTCCCTCCCTGCCTTCCTTCCTTCTTCCTCTCTTTCTTTGTCTTTCTCTTTTTCTCTTTTTTCCTTCCTTCCTTCCTTCCTTCCTTCCTTCCATCTTTCTTTCTTTCTTTCTCTTTCTTTCTTTCTTTCTTTCTTTCTTTCTTTCTTTCTTTCTTTCTTTCTTTCTTTCTCTCTCTCTCTCTTTCTTTCTTTCTCTCTCTCTTTCTTTCTTTCTCTCTCTTTCTTTCTCTCTCTCTCTCGTTCTCTCTCTTTCTCTCTCTATCTTTCCCTTTCTCTCTCCCTTTCTCTTTTTCTTTGTTGGTCCTGAGACTTAACTCAAAGACTGGGCACTGTCTTTGAGCTTATTTTGCTCAAGGCTGGCACTCGCCCACATTAACCACAGCTTTATTTCCAGATTTGAGGGGCTCATTGGAGATAAGAGTCTCGCAGACTTTCTTGGAGGCTTTGAACCTCCATCCATATATTTCAGCTTCCTGAGTTGCTAGGATTACAGGTGAGAGCCACTAGTGCCTCATCACCCACACCTTTTTAAGTTCATATCTAAAGGTTAGCCTCATCATAAGTCTCTTCATAATTTTAAAAGTTAAAGTGGATGAAAAATTTTAACATTCAAAATGTTAACATTTATAATAAAGAAGTTCATTTAGACATATCCATTGGGAGTTAAGTACCATAGCTTCTTGATACTAACCTCATTTATTATAATGCTACATATAAAGCTTGGATATTCACTTCACTTGGATATTGCACATGATTTTTTCCTCTTGTGCTTGTAATTTTATTTCATCTGCCCAATAAATTATATCAAAATTCAGTATACTTTTAATATTGTTGATAATATCTAAGGTTCTAGAGAGGTGAACATTAGGAAAAATGGTCAACCCCATCTTGACTATATTGTTTTTCCATCTTCTTCCAACCTGACCCACCTTAGCATGACAATCTTCCAAACTTGTCTGGCCCTTGCTATGAGCCATAGAACTGTTCCTCTATATTGGCATTCACAGGCCTTTATGAGCCTCCTTTTATTGTTATCACAAGATATTGCAGAAATCCTTGTTTGTTTCTTATGTTCAATTCAGAAAACAAATCCTAACACAGCAGAGGGTCATTTACAAGACATTAAATTGAGATAATTGGTTTCTTTTGTTAGCTCACAAGAAATCTAATCAATTTTGCAGTTGGTTTTAGAATGATTTTGTATGTTGTGTGTGTGTGTTTTATTTCATTTGAGACAAAGTTGTTTGAAGAAGAGTAAATGTGCACCATCTACTGTTGACATTGTGTACAGCTCTTCATTTTGTGTATTTATTTTCTCTGGGGCAGGCACCTGAAATTAATTATCTATAAAGGACTTTTATATAGCACACTTAGAAGAAGTAAAAGTGTCAGTTGAAATATATTTTGGTTAACTTTTGCTTCTAAGTTAGTAAAGGAAGAGATATGCAGAGCTAAGAAAATGGTTGAGAAGAATACAAATTAAAATTTTAAATACTCTATATGGGACAACAATCTTAATTTTTCAGGAAAAGATGACTTAAGTTGGTAAGCATCTACTTAATATACTATGAAAAGACACAAATTTAAGTTAGGTTAGACATTCATAAGTACGAAGGTAATAACAGGTAATTCTTTTCTTATCAATTATATTTTCCTGCTGTTGGTCTTGGGGTTGAACTTGGGGCCTGGACTGTCTCTCTGAGCCTGTGTGTTCAAGTCTAGTGTTCTATCACTTTGAGTTCCACTTCTGGTTTTTAGGTAGTTAAATGAAGATAAGAGTCTTACAGACTTTTCTGCCCTGGCTGGCTTCGAACAACAATCCTCTGATTTCAGCTTCCTGAGTAGCTAAGATTATAGGCATGAGCCACCATGCCTGGCTTCTTATCATTTCTTACAGAAGGTCTAAGAAGTATATGTGAGCAAATATATATATATATATATATATATATATATATATATATATATATATATATAATATGTTTGTGTATGTTCATATGCATGTACATTTAAAATACAAATGTTGGGTTTTGAATGTTATTGAATGAATCTACAGCAAAACATTTTCCAAATCACTTTTTAATGATACACTCATATCCCCAGCATGGATAATGTCCATGTAAGTCTACCTCCAAATGTTGTAGATTATGTATAATTTGTTTACTACCATTTATATTACTTCTGGTTTGTTACTATTTCAAAGGGTGCTAAAATAGTTCCATTGTACATACCTTCTCATATGAAAATTTTATAGTAGATTAGGATCTTAAACATGAAATTGGTAGATAAGAAAGTATCCTTATTTTTTTTTGTGCCAGTATTGGGGCTTGAACTCAGAATCTGGGCATTGTCCCTGAGGTTTTGCTCGAGGCTGGAACTCTACTACTTGAGCCAAACCTCCAATTCTGGCTTTTTGGGTAGTTAATTGGAGATAAGAATCTCAGTCTTTCCTGCCTGGTCTGTCTCTGAACTGTGATCCTCAGATCTCACCCACCTGAGTAGCTAGGATCACAAGCATGAGCTACTAGTACTGGGCTTAGATACCAAAATTTAAAAGCTTAGTAAACTTACTTTCCATGTGTCTTTGAGAATTTTTTCCTTGTGTGGCTTTTAGAAAACAGAACATAATATGTGATTTTTTTATATAACCATGAAAGTAAATTTATTCAGTCTTCAGAATTATTTTACAACTTAGTCTGGGTCCCAAAAGATCATGACATATTAAAACCTATTGATAGTTTGTCAGAGTTCAAAGGTGAACCCTGATTTACTGACTGATGGCACGTTCAGTGTGCTTCTTACTTCTGAACACATCTGTCTGGGAACCGTGTAGCACAGTGTTCAAAGAACTCCCACTTTTTTTTATGTACAATGCAACATGTTGTTAACTGTACTACAGTAAAAGTTTTGATAGCTCATTTCCCCCCAAACATACAGAAATATTCTATTTCTGTACACTGCTTAATATTTAATAACATTTCATAAAAATATTTATTGGATCTCACCTTATTCTGTTTCCTATTGTTTGTGTTTGTCCCCTGCATCCCAACATGCCTTTGCTCAGTTCCCAGAGTATATTAATTAGTTGGGCAATCATACAAGGTCAGAGAAAAAGAGCTGCCTTTTTTCCTTTTTCTTTTCTTTTTTTTTCCTGCTTGCTAATTGTTTCAGCTTATGAGGAATGTAAAGATAAATACAAAAGAAATAGTGTTTCCATGCTTTGGATCAAGCTGTGCATTGAAAACTGCATCTGTCTCTGAATTCCTGGCAGCTACTTTATGTCCCTCATCTTTCCTGATCCGCCTTGCCTCTGTTTTAAGTTGTTGAAGTGTTCCACATCGAGAAAATGAAATGTTTTAATTGTGTTTCTTTTCTCTGGAAAAAAACTCTTCAATAATCACTAAGTTTCTGTTTTGTTATCTCTTGTTTTGTTCTTCCCAGTGCTGAGGACAGATCTCAGCCTCATAAGTGCTTTGCCAATTTACCCATATCCAAGACCCTCATCAGTGTTTTTCTTTAAATACTTAATTCATTTTTTAGCAATACTAGAATCTCTCTGAGGGCCTCATCTCAGTCTTGGTAAACAGATGCTCCACCCCTCCTACTTTTATAATAAAAAGTATTTTAATTGTTGCATGTATACATTACTTAAAAGGAGGAAGAAATGATTAGCTGTGGATGGAATATTTGAAACCAAATATTTATTTTACTTCACCATATCATTTACACATTCCAAGAAAGTGACATCTACAAGCAAACAGGGATACCTGTCCTCAGATCTAATGAAGCACACATAAGCCAAAATTAAAAGGATAAAGAAGGTCACTATA